GAACGCTGTCTCTGTGTCATTCCTTCTTCGCCAACTCCGTCCACACCTTTGGGGACCCCTGGACCTGCTGGGGTTGGACCCCGGCACTATCCCTCTCCCTTCCTCTCTGTAAAAAAATCAATAAAATATATTTAAAATAAAATATATTTAAAAAAAGAAGGAAGTAATACAGCTTGCTCTAATGAGAAAAGTGGCTTGTACTTATGAACCAACCACAGAAATAAGCCACCGGCTTTTGTCCTGTGCTTCAACATGTTTATTTTCCTTATGCACAACACTTGTACAGAATTCCAGACCTGAGAGGAACAATGAAATTGCATTATAGACCTCTGGGTTAGTCTTTTATGTTCTTACTAGTGTCCCGGTGCACAGATTCGTGCACATTGAAAGGAAATTAATTAGAAGGTGGCTGGTGGGGTGGGACTGGGTGAGATGGGCTGGACATGCCCTGGAGCCAACCTCCCATGGTCCCCCCCCCGGCCAGCCACAACTGGGGTGGCGCTGTGGTTCGAAGAGCAGCTGAGGAGTGAGTGGGGTCCTTCAGCCTGGCCTACGGGAATCGGGCTGAAACTGGCTCTCCAACATCCCACAAGGGGTCCCGGATTGCAAGAGGGCAGTTCTCAGGTAACACATCCCAGAATCGGGCTTCCTCCTCTCTGTTTCCAGGTGTGTCACCTGAGAACCGCCACTGCCAAGTCACTGCAGCACGGTAGCTCCTGTGTTGAGTGTCTGCTCCCTGGTGGTCATTGCATGTCATAGCTACAGGTCAAACAGTCAGACAGGCGCTTAGCCTTTTATATATATACTAGAGGCCTGGTGCACAAAAATTTGTGCATTTGAGGGGGGGGGGGCCCTCAGCCTGGCCTGTGCCCTCTCGCAGTCTGGGACTCCTCGGGAGATAATGACCTGCTGGCTTAGGCCTGCTCCCGGGTGGCAGAGGGCAGGCCCAATCCCTAGGTGCAGCCCCTGGTCGCGCTCAGAGCAGGACCAATTGGGGAGTTGGGGCGCCTTCCCCTGTCATGCACAGAGCAGGGCAGATTGGGAGGTTGCGATGCCACCCTCAGTCACGCTCAGGGTAGGGCCGATTGGGGGGTTGGGGCCCCGCCCCCTGTCACACACAGAGCTGCAGGGCGATCAGGGGGTTTGGGCACTGCCCCCATCACGCTGATCCCGGTGCCAGGAGGCCTCGTGGCTCCACTGATCCCGGTGCTGGGAGGCATATTACCCTTTTACTATATAGGATAGAGGCCTGGTGCACATGTGGGGGCCGGCTGGTTTGCCCTGAAGGGTGTCCTGGATCAGGGTGGGGGTCCCCACTGGGGTGCCTGGCCAGCCTGGGTGAGGGGATGATGGCTGTTTGCAGCTGGTCACACACCCTTCAGGGTGGGGGTCCCCACTGGGGTGCCTTGCCAGTCTGGGTGAGGGGCTGAGGGCTGTTTTCAGGCTGGGACTTTTCTTTTTTATTCTGGGCCAGCTTTAGCTCTGAGACTCCAGCTCTTAGGCATCCGCTGCTGAAAGCAGGTATCTGGTTTGTTTAGGTTCTATAATCGAAACTCTGTATCAATTCCAGCTCTGAGATCCTGGCTCGCTGAAAGCAGGTTTCTGGGGTTTTGTTTAGCTTCTATATTTGTTACAATGTTTTTTAAACTGCAGGCTCAGAGGCCGGCAAGGCAGGTGGGGAACATTGGTTTCCTCCGTCACTGAAGCAAGCAAGCCTCATGTTAGTTTCAAGCTGCCTGGCTGCCGGCCGCCATCTTGGCTGGCAGTTAATTTGCATATCTTGCTGATTAGCCAATGGGAAGGGTAGCAGTCGTACGCCAATTACCATGTTTCTCCTTTATTAGATAGGATAGATAGAACCAAAGGATCTTCGTTCTGATTCCATAACTCTCAGGAAATGTCAATGACAACAGATTCCATAAAAGCCACCTTCTTCCCAGAAGAATATTCTGTTATAAATCTACTTCTTACTTCATCAGAAATTGTTACAGAGGTAATTTTAGTTGCCAGGTTTTAAAACCAGAGCATTTAATCTAAATCAAATATGGTTCTTTATGATAGAATTGCTTTGGAATTGTCTCTGCTCTTACTAAAGTGTAAGATTTGGTGCTATACTGATATATATATGAACTCTTTTACCCAAGTCAAATTATCCTTAAGTTACAGGCTTATACTAGCCATTTCCTCTCCCCCCTTTTTTGAGATTTATGAATACTGGATAATGCTTCTTAATGAGGGTTTGAGCTTTATTAATGCATTTAATTTGCAAGAACTAGGTCTCCAGAATCTTAAATGCTGCTGTGCAATGCTCAGACAGATGGTTGTATAAATAACCATCCAACAAGAACAGCAAGAAAATTAATAGAAAACTAATAAAAACAAAACTAAAGTTGAGCCCTAACCGGTTTGGCTCAGTGGATAGAGCGTCGGCCTGCAGACTGAAAGGTCCCAGGTTCGATTCCAGTCAAGGGCATGTACCTTGGTTGCAGGCCCATCCCCAGTGGGGGGTGTGCAGGAGGCAGCTGACCGATGTTTCTCTCTCATCGATGTTTCTAACTCTCTATCCCTCTCCCTTCCTCTCTGTAAAAAATCAATAAAATATATTTAAAAAAAACTAAAGTTGAAGCTATTATTTTCTTTGTTGCATAATGAGTTGAAGGAAGAATATCAACATAATGCCACTGATATAGAGATCTGGAAATCTATTATGATGTTGCTTAGAGAAGTAAATTATATTGATCTAAGAGCAGTAAATTGGTTATCAAACCCACTGATGGGCTCCCTTCAAGATCTTAACTCATAAAGCAAAATGATGGATCTGCATCCCAAGTAAAACAGAAAAAACATTTCCTCAGTCACACAAAGAACATTTCCCCATAGTTGTCTCCACTTTGAATCCTGAACCAATCAGCAAACAACTCTACTGCTTCCCATTCTAAGTAGTACCCTACTTCATAGACTGACCTTAAAATCGTCCAACCCAATCTCTTCTAAATTTCCTAGGACTGAAAGACTCCCAAGCTTTGCCTATGGTTTGTTCTCCTTTGTTACACCAATCTAAATAAACTACAGGCATGTCTGAAAACTATGTTAACGGGTTTCAAAGCATTTTCTTATAAACTCATAGTCCAGCTGGCCAGAGAAAATTATTATTTAGGTAGGTTTCTTATTTCAGGCCTGGTTTGCTTGGTAGCTAGACATGGTTCTGATAATATTATAAATGTTTCATTTTTGAGAAATCTGCTCTTAGAAATTTTTGCTAAACAAAAATTTTTGCTACACAGTTGAACTATTCCATTCCCCAATCAGACATTTAGAGGTCTTGCAATTTAAAAAAAAATATTTTTTTTATTGATTTCAGAGAGGAAGAAAGAGAGAGAGATAGAAACATCAGTGATGAGAGTGTCATTAATTGGCTGCCTCCCGCCCCGCCCCCCCCCCCCCGCCCCCCCTTACGGGGATGGAGCCTGCAACCCTAGCTGTGTGCCCTGATTGGGAATTGAACCTTGACTTCCTGGTTCATACATTGAAGCTCAACCACTGAGCCACACTGGACAGGCAGATGTCTTACAACTTTTCCTATTACAAACTAACTTGTGATAAATATTTTTCATAAAACTTCTCACAGATTAAATTATGTCCTCAGGATAAATCCTTGCAATGACAACAACTGAATTGAAGGATAGGAGAATTTTTGGCCTCTAGCCACATAACGCTTTCTTTTCAAGAGTTTTATCAATGAACTCCTCCTACCCGCAATCCATTAAAGTAAATGTTCCACTGACCTTTTCCCAGCACATTCGGAGAAACTTAAATACAAGTTTTGCTCAGACATTTAAAAGTTTTAGATATTTACATACAGCTTTTGCGGAACACAACAGGCGGGGTTCTCATTCTCAATTTGCCTCTAAATCTCTCAAACTGACTAGGTAGAAAAGCAACTGAAGTCACTACACTAAAGCACTTGGAGGAAAGTAGAAAATAGCAAATATTATGCAATAATTATTACAAGCATAGGTAAGTGTGGTCAGATGGTAGGTTTGTATATATACAGACAAAAACAGGAATCGAAGATATAAAAGACTTTCCAACTTGAATTCTTTTCAAACCCTTTGACAATTGTTGATGTGTAAAAAAAGGTTTTTGTAAGGTGTTATGTGAGAAAAAATTAAACACACATAGTTGAACATAAGTGAATTATTTTATTGACTGCTTTTTGAGTGTGAACATTGTAAAAAGGTCAACTATTTTATTTCACAAAGGTAATAATTGAGACTATATATATAGTTTAATCCTCACCCAAGGATATTTTCCCATTGCTTTTAGAGTGGAAGGGAGGAGGGGAGAGAGAGAGAGAAAAACATCTATGTAAGCGAGGCGCATGGATTGGTTGCCTCCCACAGAAGCCAGGAACCGAGGTACATGACCTTGTCCAGGATTCCAAAAGGCGACCCTTACTTAGGTTCTTGGGCCGAAGCTCTAACCAAACCGGCCAGGGCATGAACACCTTTTAAAAGGACATTTTAAAGTCGTGGTCTGGGGCTTAGTGATCAGGTTAGCTGGGCCTCTCAGCTTCCTGTCCTATTGGGCCCTGGGCTCTCTAGCATTGCCCGGTTCCTTCATGCTAACCTGGAGCGCTAGTCCTCAATTTCCTGTATTCCATGCTGCGGAGCCCTTGAGTAAGGCACAAAATATCAGATTCCTTTCCTGCTCTCAGACTTCTGCTAAAGCTCCATGATCATGGCCTTTTGCAAAAAAAGAAAAACTGAGACATCCGTCCCCATCACCACCTTAAAGTGACCTTCACTTCCACAACCACGCAAAACCCAACCCGAAACCTTCTTCACATCTCTATTCAGCAGAACCAAGCCCACCCACCGCTCGGTGGAAGTGCTGTGACGTCACCGCGGAGAAACGCATGCGCTGGGCCTGGAGGCCCTTTTCCGCTCTTTTCCAATGAAGCTCGGCGTCCGCGGGTGCGACGAGAGAACTACCATTCCCAGCGTCCTGTGCGGTGCGGGAGAAGGGAGGTTGGGACCGTGGTTAAGAGGCTCCGGAGGATAGCGGGCCCGAGCCGGCCGCTCTTCCTTCCGAAGCGGTTTTGCACCTCTTTGGCCCGCGGCGTCGGCGGCGTCGGCGCTCACGCAGGGGCGGGTCACGGCGGCGTAAAGCGGGGCTGGGCGGGAAGGGAGGTCGTGGCGGTGGCGGTGTCGGCAGCAGGGACAACAGCCACAGCGGCGGCCACGGGGACAGCAGCAGCGCCGGTGCTGTCAGTGAGGCCGTCGGAGAAATGGGAGACCCAGGGCCGGAGGTGAGTGGGGGGGCCGCGCAGGGTTTTGTGTTTTGTGGGCGGAGGCCTGGTGCTCGGCCGCAGCCTCGGGGCGATGCCCTGGGCTTCTCGGCCGAGCCGGCCTTGGGACCTTGCAGGTCTGAGCAGGAACCAGCAGCAACAATGGCCGCCTCGGCCCCCGAGCTCCTTGTTGTGGCTGCTCCGCCGACCGGCCTTGCTCCTCGGCAGGGAGCCTGCGTCCCTCGTCCAGGAGCCGCCGGGGGGATCCGGAGGGGCCCGTGGCTGGTTTTCGCCGTCTGGTCCCGACCCCCCCACGGAGGCAGAGGCACAACCCGACTCCGGGGAGCTCTGCTCTTCGTCGGGTTTGCGTGCAATCGTGCCCTTAAGTTTCTTTGGGAGCTCTTCCCTTTTCGTTCCTTTTGGGGAAAACCTCTTCCTGCAAGTACATGGCTGTATAGATAAGCGTGTTCTGGCTTATTTTTGTAGATAATAGGATCTGTCCCTCCAGCGGGGCCTGGGGCATCTGAGTCCGCAGCGGATGAAAATGAAGATGACATTCAGTTTGTGAGTGTAAGTAGCCACATTTCGGGTTTTTCGGAGTCGAAGACTGCGTGGTAAGCGGTTATGGGACGACACCTCACCTGTTCATCCATCGCCCAGCCAATACGTGTGCATGTCCCACGGGCCCTGGACAGTGTGGAGGTGGCAGTGGGGCAGGGAACTGAGCGACCTCCGTGGCCATCACAAAGGCTGCCGGCCCGAGGCCGCGCTGTGCCCTCCATCACTCCTCTCCTGCCTCCACGGAGGGCCATTTTCTGCTCTGGCTCAGGCCGAGATCTGGTCCCTTAAGGCTGTGTATCGAAACGGGTCAGGAGCATCTTCTAAGCCTGCAGCGGTTCTCAACCTGTGGGTCGCGACCCCTTTGGCGGTCGAACGACCCTTTCACAGGGGTCGCCGAAGACCATCCTGCACGTCAGATATTTACGTGACGACTCATAACAGTAGCAGCATGACAGTGATGAAGTAGCAACGAAAACAATGTTACGGTTGGGTCACAACATGAGGAACTGTGTTTAAAGGGCCAGAAGGTTGAGAACCACTGTGAGGGGAGACACCCAGGTGAGGGAGAAGGGACAGCTGAGGAGGAGGAGGAGGGCTGTAAGAACTCAAAACCTGAGCTTCCTCAGGTGGAGGCAGCTAGCTTGAAGGTGTCACAGATCTCTGAGGTCACCATGTTACAGCACAGTAGTGCAGTTGGTGTGCATAATGAAGATACCTGCATCACCAGGAACGCACTGTGTTTTCTGATTTTATTCCCGTGGAGACCGTTTCCGAGCATTCGTAATAAGTGTATACATTCCTGGGCCTCACTCTGCACCTATTGAGTCAGAATTTGAAGGTCGGGGTCTAGGAATCTTCATTTTGGAGAAAAAAATGCAAGGATAGACAGATCTCTGGACCACACTTTTTAAAGCGTTGGTTTGGGGAGAAAGTGGATCTGATGTATTTTGGGGATGATTTTCACCCAAAACAAAGTCTGACAAGGGCTCTGCTTGGAGAATACCTCTACTCTGAAGTACCCTTTGAATCCTGGAGTTGAGGTGTATTATTAAAGGTGTATAATTTTTCTTTAACATAGTATTTGTGTTTGTTTGGGGGCAGCTTCGTAAAACTGGTTATTAAACAATATTCGATAGTATCACAACATTAGGGCCATGTGATGATCTATTGTATTGTGTGTTAATGGGTTTGTGTAGGAGTCTTTCACAAGAGCATTTGTGGCTTTTTCTCCAGTGCTAGCGTATATGGTCCTCTTCTTTATTTTAAACTTTTAAAGTTTTGGGTTGTGGGAGGTTAGAAGAACTGTATCCTGCCCCCAGTCTCTGTGGACTGAAGTATGCTTAGAAACAGAATTCCCTGGCTCTTTAGGACAAATATTTCAGGTTCTTCCTGAGTATTGGTATATTTGTGAATGGAGAGTACTTATTTTGATATTTTGTGCAAATATCAGTAAGAATGACACACAATTCTTTATGAACTACAGGCTTACTTTGAAAGTCACTGATGGAATCTATTAAAATAAGATTTCAGAAATATTTTTTTGTGGTACTCTGGGATGGAGAATTGTAGCTTGTGACTAATACAAGCTTGTATTAAGTTGAAGTTTAACTCTAAGTTTTATTTTAAATGTAGAGAATCTGTTATATCTTTCATCAGAATAAAAAATATACAATCAGTTTTGTGTATCCAGCTTGACACAACTTATATTTATTCTTGTTTTCAACTATAGGTTCAAAGGCATGATAGTTCTAAATGGACAAATGAATTATATGTACCATGTACAATTATAATACGAGAAGAAGCCTATTCGACATTCCCTCTGTCTTTGTAATGATAACACTAAATGCCAATGATACCTTAATTCTATTTTAAAATATATTTAGAGACAGACTCTCCTACTTCTTTCTGTGACCCAATCTTATCCTCTAGGTAATGCTTATCCAATTAAATAATAAACAGTTCCCTGGTTAACTTAAGATTAATTCAGATACAGAAAAGAGCATTATGATGTCATTTCTTGATTTATTATGGTTTGGATTTCTTAGTTTGCTGTTAATTTAATTTTTTAATCTTTGATCCATATGATGGCACATCATTCTTTCTGTGGTTTGCAGAAATAGAATCTGAAACTACACAGCATGCTGAAGGAAAGGAAAAATACAGATGTAGAGGTCCAAAATGACCCCTTTCATTTATATTTTAGTGAAATTAACATTGAACTTAATTTGTAAGTGTACTGTTTGACTTTTGCAAAGCCAGTACACCTGTGTAAACAGTGCTCAAATCAAGAAACAGAATATTACCCTAACAAAAACTTTTCATTTAGGTCTTTTTCTCTCATTTTCTGTTTAATTTAGTAACATGACTCTTTTTTCAGCCATCTTTGTGTCTTTCTTTGAAACTGGATATTTTAATTTACTCACAGAAAATTGTTTAGCGTAGAAGCCCATGACATGCTTTTCCACAGAGCTACTGTAGATACAAAGGTATAAAAACTGCTGAGGCAACCTATCATAAATTTGAGAACAGCACATGAGCCTTGGCTGGTTTTGCTCCATGGTTAGAGCATCAGCTCTGGCTCTGAATGGTCACGGGTTCGATTTTCGGTCAAGGACACCTGCCTCCATTGCTAGTTTGATCCCCAGTCCCAGTTGAGGCATGTTGTGCGGGAGGCAACCAGTCAACTTCAATGTTTCTCCCTCCCTCCCTCCCTCTCTTCCTCCTTTTTCTGTTTCCCTCACTTCCCCCTCCATCCTTTCCACTCTCCAGAAATCAATGGAAAAAATATCCTCAGGTGAGGATTTAAGAAAAAAAAAAGAACAGCACATGAGATTTGTGTTTCAGCCGATATTATTGGCTTAATGTGGAATCGTTGAACCTGTGGAAATAGTGAAAGAAATTGTATAATTTCATAAATAACTTGAGCACATAGTTCAAGTGATATTTCACCAGCAGTAGAATGGATCATAGGCAAAAAAAATAAAAATAAAAAAATAGGGTATCTTTTGTCTGGGGGTCTTAAGGGTGATAATTAGCTTAATAAAAATAATGTTGGAGCTCATAATATGTGGAGTCATGAATTAAGTACTTTGGAGCTACACATACTAATTGGAAATACATTTCACCCAAAAATGTCAGTATTTTAGTGTGGGACATGAAATAGGAGATGAGAACTATGTAAATAATTCTAGTAGAAATTTCTTTTATAAAAAACAAATGGTGCTGTCCCCCCCTAAAAAAAAGTCCTTCAGTTTACTACTTTGCCATATGTAGCATTTAGTATTTGTACGTGTTTAAAGGTTATTTTTAGAAGAAATAAGGAAAGGCATCAAAATTGGAAAAGCAGTTTTTTGTGTAGTTGTGGAAGATAAGATTTTTTTTTTTGCAAGTGGGAGAGGAAAGGATGGGCTAGAATAGTATAGATCTTGAATTGTGGACTACATTTGAACTTAAAGTAGGCAATTGGGAACCATTTGAAATTTTTGAACTCAGCATGACTGAAGAAGTAAACTATGCCCCTAACTTATCTATATGGAAAAAAAAAACCCAAATGAATTATTTAGAATTTTAGATTAGATTTTTGCATCTGTGGTTAAATCCATGTTTGTTTTAGACTGAGGTAAGCTTTTTTTTGTGTGTATATCTTTGTCTATTGACAACACTTTCCAGTTAGTCGGCAATTGGTGTTTTGGATTTGTGTGAGAATTTTCTAATAACAGAAATGAAACCTTTATTTAAAACAAATTTGTTTTTAAACTTAGATTATTAATTCAACTGTGTTCCTAATCTGTTTTGCTTGTGCTTGTGCTTCTGCTCCTAAATTGTGTGGCCTTGGAAGTAGAATCCTTTGATTTGGTGTTGGTACAGAGGAGATAAGAATGACTGTTTAGCCCTAACTGGTTTGGCTCAGTGAATAGAGCGTCGGCCTGCGGACTGAAAGGTCCCAGGTTCGATTCCTGGGACATGTACCTTGGTTGAGGGCACATCCCCAGTAGGAGGTGTGCAGGAGGCAGCTGATCAATGTTTCTCTTTCATCGATGTTTCTAACTCTCTATCCCTCTCCCTTCCTCTCTGTAAAAAATCAATTTAAAAAAAAAAGAATGAGGGTTTACTAGTTGATGTATGGAGCATATTCAAATAAAATACCTTGTAAATGGAGGACCACATGCATATATACTTGTTAGGGATATAAGCAGTCATTATAAATATTAGAAATTATTTTCTCTTGGTCTTTGTGCTGTAAACATTACTTCTTTGGGGGAGTTAATTTATTTATTGGTCAGTGTTATGAGTTACTCAGAGTTGGGGATAGTAGCAGGTACTCATTTTTCTCTTTTTGAAAAGTATCTTATCTCAGAAACTTAGATAATAAGCATAGATTTAAAAATATTCTGTATCGCCCTAGCCCAGGGGTGGGCAAACTTTTTGACTCCAGGGCCACAATGGGTTCTAAAACTGGACCGGAGGACCGGAACAAAAGCATGGATGGAGTGTTTGTGTGAACTAATATAAATTCAAAGTAAACATCATTACATAAAAGGGTACTTTTTTTTTTTTTTTTTTTTTAGTTTTATTCATTTCAAACGGGCCGCCCGCGGGCCATAGTTTGCCCACGGCTGCCCTAGCCAGTTTGGCTCAGTGGATAGAGGGTCAGCCTGCGGACTGAAGGGTTTCAGGTTCGATTCTGGTCAAGGGCACATGGCCTGGGTTGTGGGGGGTTGTGCAGGAGACAGCCGATAAATGATTCTCTCTCATCATTGATGTTTCTGTCTTTCTCTCCCTCTCCCTTCCTCTCTGAAATCAATAAAAATATATATTAAAAAATAAAATAAAAAACACCACTATTAAAAAAAAATCATATTTTGAACTACTTCAGAGTTGCATTGGGCACACAGCCAATTATGTGTTTAGAGAACCAGGTATGTATCTCACTTAGTTTTCTTACTTGTTAAATGGGATAATGGTAATTCAGTATCTTACCTTGTCAAGTAATTTTGAGGACTAAATAAAATCATGTGCATGAAAAGTTCAGTACAATCCCTTTATAGGGCAGGATGACAAATGTTACTGATTAGTAGGGAAATAAATGGAGTACTAAAATGTTTTGATTACCTCATTATGGTGGAAGTTTTTCTATGTCCACTGTGGAAATTAGAGTATTTGTTTATAAAGTAATCTTTTCCTTGGGGGTACTTACCTTTTCTTATTTTTCCACTCAGCCTCTTTGTCTTTTTGGAGGCCTCGGACACTTTTCTACCATTCCATCACTAACTCCATAATTATGTGTTGAGTAATGAATAGGTATCCTAAATGACTCCTGCTTTTTCTCACGTCTGGATTCCCTATCCTGATTTCTTTTTATTCTTTTTAGTTAGTGTGAATTATATGAAGTTGCCATTGCTTAGTTGTGCATATCAGTCCAATGGTTCCTCCAGTAGTAAATTTCTGGTAGTTCTCTTCTCTGTTTTCATTTCTGCCTCTTCTACTATTTCTTGACTTACCTTTTAATCCTATTTGTTACCATTTTCGTTATCCTGTTTTTTCTGCCCATTCTACTTTTTGCTTTGTGCCTGTTACTTTCTTTCATCTCCCTTATTTCTTTACCTACTATCTGTTCGTGGAAATTCTGGCCCTACCTCTGTTTTTCTGGTAACCTGAGGACTTTCTTGGTGTGCTATTTCTGTGGGCATGTAATAAAAATTATTTAATGCAAATTTCTTGAATAGTGCAAACTCAGATAATTATATGAACAGTCGAAGTTATTTTTATCTACTCTATTTCCTTCTTGGATTAATTATATAATCTTGATGATCTTTATACCATTGGTAGGTTTTAGTCTTAAAATACGTGATGTACCTCTGTCGACAATACGTTGGAGAATATCTGTCCCTCTTTTCCTCCTTTTTAAACTTCCATCTTTATAGCTTAGCAAAAATCCCAATTACTTTGTTACATGATTCCTGCCCAAAAGTTTTGCTCTGGATCACTACCTGCAAGGATAGTAATTTTCTGCTTGCAGAGAAGTTGTAGCCCAGGGGAAAAAGAAACAAGCTACCTTTTAGACTGGATGCTTCTTTCGGGAAGAGGATCTTTAACTACATCTTAGCTTCTGTCTCCAGATCTAGAATCTTTTTCTGTTAGTTTTTCCATCGAATTAATCACTTTGGCTTGCCAACAGTCAACTTTCTCTATCCTAAGAAGTCTTTCTTCAGCCATATTCTCCTCCTCCTATGTTCCTTCCTCTTGTTCTCAACGTACTAGATTTGTTTTTAAATTTAAATTCTTTATTGTTTAAAGTATTACATGAGTCTCCTTTTCCCCCATTGACCGCTCCCCGGCCACCCCCACCCCCTAGCACGTGCCCTCACACCCCCCCCCCCCCGATTTTTTTTAAAGAATACTCTCTACTCATGTCCTTTACTGCCTTATTTTCTATTTAATTTTTAGAGAATGGCTCCTGTGCTCACTACTTTCTTGACGGTTGCTCTCTCAAAATCTTTTTGCCAAATTCAGTGACACTTTTTTTTTTTTTTGGTGTTTTGGGTCATATTTAGCATCGATAACTTTTCATCGAGGTTCACTTTATCTTTAGCTTCTTTGGATTTATGCATTCCTGATTCTTTTCTAATCTCTGATTACCCACATAGCTCTTCTTCCTAAATCCTAAAATTCTAGCATTTCCTCAAGAGCCTCCTTGAATTCTTCTTTGTCCTCTTTGCTTTTTTCTTTGGCTACTCATAGTTTCAATTTAAAGCTACAGTTAATAGGCTTTTAGGGGAGCCACTCCCCAATTTCTATTCTCAGTTACTTCATACATCCAGATTACAGGCCTGCATTTCCAGCTCTGCCAAATACCTCTTTGTGCCATTGGCATATCACATCATTACGTGCAAAAGAATATCAGCATTGTGTTTCTGTATTCCAAGTTTCTATTAATGGCATTAGTATCCTTCTAGTTACCCAAGCTTGAAACCTTAGGGGATCACTTTTTTACTTCTAGTTGTTGTTGGGATTTTGTTTGCCAATCTTCGCGCTTCCCCCTCCCCCACCTCTCCATTATACCCATATATTCTCTTCTATATGCACCACCACACTATTCTTGCTGTCACCACTACTTTAGTTCTGCATTTTTATGCGTCTGGACTGGTTAATTCTGCCTTTTCCACTCTTCATACTTCTTTATGTGATTTCTCTTAGAGCACAAGTCTCATATGTTACTCCCATGTTAGTTTTTATTCTCTTTAGCCTAAAATCAAGACTTTTAGAATAAAATCAAGGCTTTGAAGCCTAGCATTCAAGGCCTGGTTCATGATAAGTCAGTATGGATGGAAAGAAAGGATGGAGAAGAATTAGGCTTAATATTTCTCTATAGAAGTGGGAGATAAAGCTGAGCTCTTGGTCAAAGAACTCCATGGTTTTGAGCTTAGATATCTAACAAACCATTGATACCCATCACATTTGAAAAGTACTGGCTCATAATATCTGTGTCCTTATAGCCTGTTTCTGTATTAATTGACATAGTCCCAATACTCTTATCGGGGTTTAGGGTCCTCCTCCTAGACCTTGCCATCGTTTCTTTCTTTCTTTTTTTTTCTCATCATCATTTCTTATTCATGTACATACTCTGAATATTTTTCTCTGCATTTTGATTATTTTCTGCCAGCCATAACGAATTAAGAGGAATTTTTGCCAATCCCAACAAACATTGTTTAAAATGCTAGTTTAGTTTGAATAACTCTTCATGATTTGTTAATTTGCTCAATTCTTTCCTAGGAAGGACCATTAAGACCTGTTCTTGAATATATTGATCTGGTCAGCAGTGATGATGAAGAACCTAGCACCTCTCATAGTGATGTAAGTACACTATATTTGATTTGTATTTCTTTACTTCTGTCATTTTATAGGCATTCTCTAAAGAGAGTTATCAGATCAATGACGGTTGTGTTTATTGCTTTAGAGCAGTGATGGCGAACCTATGACACACGTGTCAGAAGTGACACGCAAACTCATTTTTTTGGTTGATTTTTCTTTGTTAAATGGCATTTAATTATATAAAATAAATATCAAAAATATAAATCTTTGTTTTACTATGGTTGCAAATATCAAAAAATTTTCTATATGTGACACGGCACCAGAGTTAAGTTAGGGTTTTTCAAAATGCTGACACGCCGAGCTCAAAAGGTTCACCATCACTGCTTTAGAGGATGGACCATTTCTGTTAGGATGGGCCATATGGGTAGTCCAAGGAGTTATTTGCCCAGAATATCTCCTACTTTTAGTTTTGTTTCTTCACTTTCAGTGAGGGTGTGAAAGGATGACATGACGCAGGAAAGTTCTAAGCCTTGGTGATGATATCTGATAAAAGGGAAATGGAATAAAAACTGCAAGCTTTTTGGCTCCTTGTGTCCTTTTCCTTTCCTATTTCTCTTCAGATGCCCTATAGAACTGGATCCTTTTCATCCAGAACCACGTAGACACAGAAAATTTGTTTTATCTTGGAAGAAAGAATATGTGAAGATCCTTTAGAAAATGGCATGTAGGAAGGGTTATAGGTGATATATTACTTTAGACATCATATCTTTTAACCTCTTCTATCCCCCATATTTGGAGTTTTCTCTATTACGTGTGATTTTTTTGGTTGTGGGTTTAACCCTTTAATATTTTCTTTACTTTGAGAACTGAAGCAGCTGAGCCCTTTGTAACACTCTTGTCCTACATTTGTTGTAGCCCAAATTGCTACTAATGGGCTATTTTCTTGGTGGATTACAGAACTCCTTGGTCTTGTTCAAGGTGGCCAGAAGCTTCTGCTCTGTAATAAAAGAGGATTGAGACTTGGACTTGGAATGAAAATACCTAGGTTTTAGTCTCAGCTTTACTCCTTATTAATTCTATAATTTTGGATAAATTAAGTAGCTTTTTAACCTTAGTTTCTTTATCAAATAAAAATAGCACCTACCTCACAGGGTTGTTGTGAGGATGAAATGAGGTAACAAAAATATATTTGAGCTCTTTGAAAACTACAAACCATAAAGTAGGACTATGCAACTGGAAAGTTTTGTTATTTGTGGAGAGTGAATGGGAGAATTTTTAAAGGGGCTTAAAAGTGATTCTACAATGGAGGACTTTTTAAAAAAACTTTTTTTTTTTCCCCTCAGTGGGACTTATCCCGAGTGTTTTCTGCAGTTATTAGCTCCTTTTATTGACTTAAATATATTGTATAGGATTTTTTTTTAATTGTTATCACCAATGATCTAACCACCTCTTACCCTTGTATGGGACCAAGCAGCAGGCTAGGATGGCACCACTTGAACTGGGCTTGTTTATATTCTCTTTTTTCAGGGACAGAGTCCCAGATTAATGCCAGTAGTTGGTATTGGGTCTTTGGGAAAGTGAAGCTTGTGCAATTGATTCTTGTGATCCCTTGCTGACCAATAGTGGATTGCATCATTCATTATTTTAATTATAGTAATTTTTAAAAATTGAATTCTACTTACTGGACATGCATCTCTGCACTTGAAAGTTAACATATTAAAAGCATTTTTTTTTCTTCCTTGGTTTTCTTATTCATGTGGATAACCCAGAGAATGCCTGAGTCTAAGGTGCCATCCTCTGAGAATCATCGCCCAGAAATGTGCTCTAGCTGCAATGTGCCTCTTCCCATTGGAGACAGCAGCTCCTCTGGGAGTTGTACCAGCAGTCCACAGAGGATAGTTTCTCAACCTTCTTCTGTTGAGAACCCATTGGAGAACCAAAAAAATGATCAAAATAATTCAGATTTTAAGATCTCTGAGACAGATACACTTAAACCATCACAAAATTATCAGAATCTGCCTTCATCTCCACTTCTGGTCCCCCAAGAATCTTTGGCCTCTTCACAGGTCAAGGAGGATTTACCGCCAGAGTCTTCAGCTTCACAGCATGGACAGGATGCCATCCTCTATCTCCAGACACAAGTGGCTGAGATGTCCCGAGTGATACGTGATCTACAGTCCAGGAGTTGTTTCAGATTTCACCATTCTAGGCCAAGTGAGAACTCCTCAGTTCCTTGGGACATCACCTCCAAGGAAGAGAATTTATCCACAGTTGAAGAAGAAGCAGACTGCAAATCCCCCTCAGCTGATGACAAAGGACAGCCAGCTGATCCCAGTCAGACCAGTTTCACAGGTCTTTTGAAGAGAATGGAACAGAGAGGTGTTATAAAGAGAGTAACATTACAATCTGAAGCAGAGTCATGTGACGGGAAACCTGATTATGTGACTTCTAAAAAACGTCTGGTTCCTCCTCTGCATCCTCTTCTGAGAATTGCCACCACTGAGGTTTTTAAAGACCCTGCTGATTGCCATCCTTCTTCTTTCATGGGACACAGGGTATATCCTGTGGCCAAGGATACCTCTCCTTTTCAACCAAATCCTCCAGCTGAGGGTCCCATTGTAGAAGCATTAGAGCATAGCAAAAGAGGAAGCACAACATCTCTTCTAGATTCTACCTCAAAGGAAATGGAGGTCATGGGTTGTAGATTTTACCATGCTGCTTCCATTGCAGCCCGAGCTGCTAGCTACATGGCCTATATGACTCAATATCAGCGTAAACTCTGGGAAGACATGGAGGATCTGGTCCATGACCCAGAGTTTGATCGTGGAAAAGCAAGATGTATAATATCTGATGGTATGGATGCAGGCCTTTGGCAGCTTTGTACTACTAGGGACATAATGGACTCTGTAGTCAGAGTTATGGCAATGGCAGTAGACTACAGAAGGCAAGCCTGGCTCCGACTTACATCTCTCACTAAGAAAACCCAGGAGAAGATCTCACACTTGCCCTTTGATGGCACTTCCCTCTTTGGACAAGATGTGAATGCTGTTGTTGCAGAAGAAAACAGTATAAAAGAAAATGACTATAAAGACCACAACAAATATTATAACCAACATCGATACTTTTATAGTCATGATCAGAAAGCACATTATCACAATAGAGGGTACTCCAAAGGGGATTGGTACAAATCCCGAAACCACCCCTATAGATATAGAAAAAAGGGAGAATCTCCAGAACGCCATGGGTACAAGAATTAATAGCCTGTTTGTTTAGCAGTATAGCCATCCAGCATCCTAAGTATTTTACTTGCTCTTCCTGACTTAAACAGATCTACATGTAGGTGGTCACCTCAAAAACTGAATGCATGTATGGAATTGCTTCAGCTTACATTTAAATTCTAGACTGTTTGAATGAAGTATATAATAAAATCATGCTTATTGATCAAGTGAGCAGTGGAGACTTTTCATCTAAGTAGGGTTGGACAGAGATTTACCCATTATTTCTGATTCAAAGTAAGTACAGAGTAAGGTACTCAGGAATCAGAATCCTCTTGTGATCAAAGAAAAACATAAAGATTTGTTCCTCAGGAAAATCTTGCTGGTAAATTGAGGACCAGGAGATTTATGGCCTGGAAATAACCCACTAACCAGATCTCTGTTTAACACAGAGACAAATCCTTCATGTTTAGGTTATCAGTGCTTCCTTGTTCAGGCTTTGCTTGTCAGATCTTCACAAAATGACAGATCTCTATATCAGGATGAACTCACTGAGTGCATACAACTCAAGCTCTGTGAGACTTCGAAATCAACCATGAAGCTGTATATCAAGAACTGGAATTCAAGTCAAATTTTGCCAAATCTAGTTTGCTTCCAGTGGGATGACTAGATGTTACAGGTCTACAGTGGGCACCAGCTGGAAAAAGACTTCTACCCATAATGTCTTTAAAAATTTCACAGTTAACTCTCTTCATCAAGACTGGTTGCTATCATACCATTACCACTCCAAGTTACATTATGAGAGAATTCTTAGTTGTTGTCACTTATAAGCCTCTGACATATCAAACTCGTATCAATCACCAAGCTGTGAGGCCCAGTAATGGTGTTCTCTCAGGATAATCTGGACCTTTCAACAGGATGACCTTCTTAAACCCACCTTCTAAACAGTTAAAATTTTTGAGCTTGATAATTCATCACACTTTAAATACAAAACAAGATATGTATATTAGTGACCTGGAAATAAAGGATGTTAGACCATCTAGGCATGCAAATCTGAACTCTAAAAAGAGCAAGAATTCCAAACATGCCTGACAATCCAGTTCTCTTACTGTAATAAAGAAGAATGCCATCAATTGATGCTATTGAGAAACCCATAAGTTTTAGACTATAAATGTTGATGTAGTAAAGAGAACATCTCACACAGTTCAGTTTCTGGATATCTATTTAAATGATATATCTTTTAATAATTTCTTAAAAGTCTGAAATCAAGACTTCAGTGACATGTTCTTTGTTTATTGTTCCCTTAACCTAGTCAGACTTTTACCATGAGAGACGACCTTGGTTTAATTAATAGTTCTCCACTATCCTGGAACTAGCAGCAGATACCTCAAATACATGTCTCACAGTATCTTTTCAATCTCAAGGGAGTGGCTGTACTGTATACCAGGCCTTAGATCCTTGTCTTCGCAGCATGACTTCAGAAATGGAGAAAATTGTCAAGTTTGAGGGGTCTGAATACATGACCCAGTATTACTTGCTTGGCAGCCAAAATAGTTTTTTTTAATTGACAGACTTAAAACTTTGTAACTTGTTTGTCAAACATCAACATCTTTTTATCTGCTTGATCGAAATATTTTGGGTCTACTGTTAGTGGAATATAACACTGTTTTAGGATTCATGTGGTTTCAATTTCTTGCCATAGTTCTTGCATAATGGTAATTGACGGTTTTCCTGGAGCCCCACTTTTTAATAGCTTATTGGAATCTCATTCTTTCTCTCCATCATAACCATATTCAGCACCATATTTGTGCTATAGAGGTTGAAGAG